ATTTTTCTTACAGAAATGGCTGCTAGAAAACGTTCAGCGATTATCTTAATTATTTAATTAAATTATTAATTAGATTTATTGATTAGATTTAATAATAAGATTGATTATTAATTAGATTTATTGAATCTGGTGCAAAGACTGTGAAGTTGGACTTTGCCTTGAACCCTGTTTTGAACTCTACTAAACTGCATACTAAACTGCATTTCTAAGGTATTTTTTCCTCAGTGCTTCATATTTTCTTAAATTCTATACATTTTACTTTTTTATATATGAAGCAATAAATAGAAATTAACTGTAATTTATTTTAAATTTTTTTTTTTTTTTTTTTTTTTTTTTTTTTTTTTTTTGGACATCTCTGAAATGGTTTTTCTGCCAACTTAGTTTCTCATGATAAAAATCTACATTAAAAAATATTTTCTAGAAAGAAAAAGTGCATTTTTCAATTCTCCAATTATGTAGATTTAAAATATGAAAAAAATTACACAATTTTTGAAGCGATTTCGGTCCACAAATTGAGAAGTCAGAGGCTTAATTTCTCCTTTCCTAATCCATGGCCACCACGTTCGCCGGATCTAACCCCGTGCGATTTCTCGTTATGGGGCTATTTAAAAAGTCTTGTGTATCGTGGAGCTGTTGCGTCGTTGAATGACTTAAAGAACTCCATAACGCTTCATGCGCGAAGCTTCACAACAGATCAGTTACGATCTGAAGTTGAACGTTGAACATACTGTCCATCGATTTGAAATTTTGCAGGTAAATAAGGGTGGTCACGTGGAGCGCCTTTCCCTACATCATCCTGGAGACGATTAACAACTGCTCCTCTTGTGCAATTTCGTCCTAATCTGTTCTTGTTTCTGCAAACTGAACTGTTTTTGGGTTCTCTCTTACCTTTACTTAATGTGGTTCGATGACAAGTGATCAGAAACTAGTCAATAAATGTTAATATTGTTTCTGTATTCCGTTTTGGTTGTTTATTGTGTTAAATTTCATGTTTTCCCGAAGAGACGCCATCTGGTGGACATTTTGGAACTTTTTTTTCTTTTTCTTTTTCTTTTTCTTTCTTTCTTTCTTTTTTTTTTTTTTCCGAAACTCCGTGAGAGTATCTCATGTATAGCCCACATACAAAATTTCGTTGCATTCCGTTCACCCGTTTACGTCGTAGGATGCCTTTTATAGGGGAGTTTAATTATAAACACCTGGTGTTTTGTATATATATTATGCATAAATATTTTAAACATGAATTTAAAATTAATACTTTTTTAATTATGGCTGAATAATTAACTATTGTGAGAAAGAGGCCTATATCTTAAGATATTTAATTTGAATTTAGTAACTTTTTCTAAAATCCACATTGAACCACGTTCATTAAATACTTCGAAGCTGTTTTTATTTTTTTTTTAATGCTTCATCAATCCCTCTTTCTATATCATATCCTTTAAATAGTTACAAACAGTTGCTGCGGAAATGCAGATAAATGTATTCAATTTCTCCATCTTCACACTCACGACTCATTTTAACTGGCTGATACCATTTCTAACACCGATATATTTACATTATAACTCACTTTTTCTGCAAGTTGCAATTTTATATCTTCCAGAAACACATCTAAGTTTTACTCTTTTTCAGTGTTAGAGAAAATCGACTCAGCCTTTAAGCCTTGTGATTTTAGTAGACTTACGTGCATTAGCAGAGTCAGCGTTTTTTCGTTTTTCCAAGGACCATGTTCCACTCGAATGTGATGTAACAGATCATTTATTTCTTTTTAAAAAATCTGAATATTGGGTACAATTTCTAAGATGAGAAGTTTCATATTGTTTCAAAGCATTACTGTTAATAAAATTCTTTGAGCAACTACTATATTTCAGAGAAATTTCGTGCGTCACTTCAAAGTTACTTGAATAAACATCTGAACTTTCAGTATAACTTCTAAGCTGTAAAGCTTCATGTTATTTTAGATCATCAATTTCGCTAAATATCTTTGAGCATGGTTTACACTTAAAAGTAACTTTATGAGATTTCCACGTGTCTCTCTAAATCTCTTTTATTCGAAAAAACATCTGAAAATTCAGTACAACTACTAAAATGTTAAATTTTATGTTGCTTTAAATTATAAGCTTAACTAAATATCTTTGAACATGATTTACACTTAAAAGTAACTTTATTTGTTTTCATAAGTCTCTCTTATTTTTTTTTACTTGAAAAAACATCAGAACATTCAGTACAAGGTTTCAGATGCGAAGTTTCATGGCATTTCAAATTATCAGCTACTAAATTTCTTAGGATATAAACTACAACTGAAGGTTTTTTCAAGAGATTTTAGATTCACATCACTTGTTTTCGGGAAAATTTGTAAACATATCGCAAAAGTAATAAAATTTCGGAGATGAATCGCTTCGTGAACTCTTAAATTATTAACGCGATTGAATCGCTTGAAACACGTACTGCGCTGAAAAGGTGTTTTTTTAGCATGAATTCTCATATGGTTTGAAAGCACTACGTCCCATGCACTGAGAGGAACGTTCTTCTGTATATATCATTAACTGCCGATTTAAATTCTTTTGCATAATGAACATCTTACCACAAGTAGGACACATCTAAGCGAAGGAAATGAATCATTTAACTAACTTCAGATTGAAGTAGAAAATATTTGATATATTCTAAAATTTAACGTATTTATGGACTGGCATATTTTATAAAATAAAGAATTTTTCAAATAATGAGAAACATGGTTATTTCAGAATTTATAAGCGAATTTTCACTAATGAGAATAACATTATACTGAAGATTTTCAAAATCTCGAAGAACGATGAAACATATCCTATTCTTTTTGAAGAAATTTAATCAGTTCACAGTACTTCGGAAGTACCGTACGAGTTTTATGATACATTTTTACTGAATAATAATAAAGCTTTCAAGAACAAATCAAATTTTTAATCACCTTTAATAAAAGTTTAGGAATAATTACGATGAGACCTGAAAATCTAAAGACTTTATATACTCTGAAACGGTTAAAAAAAAAAAAATCAAATTTTCAATTCCCATCAAACGTTTTAGGTATTTTTCGTATTACTTGCGACCTTGAAAACATGTTAACTAACTATAAATATACTTAAATGCATTTCTACTACCTTTTTTTCGAAAACAGAAGTTTACATTTCGCATATGTAAACTATTACACCAGATCAATTAAATTTTTTACTCACATTTAGTAGCATTTCCTACTATGCAAAACAGTTTTAAATAATGTTGATATGTACACTTAAAATCTATCCTTTACGCATTAGGATACAGTAACAAAATACAGACTAGAAGAAAAATATGTAATAAAATATATAATTCTTTTATATAATAAATGAAAGCATTAGCTACATTGATAGTTGAAGAAGATAGTACTTTTCAAGGCCTTTAAAAAAAAAAAAAAAAAAAAAAAAAAAACTGATGTTAATCCGTAACAAATGTTGAGATTAGAAGAAAGCTATAAGCAATAACTTTAACGGCAAGCTTATTTAATTGTAAATGAAACTGAATGATCTACCACTGCTATCATTACTTTATACTTTTCTTTTCTACATTTCTTTTGCCTGTTTGTTTAGTTATAATTATTTTTGCTTTACGTGATATATATGTAACCACTCGCTTATCCGGCTTAAAAGTCCTCACCTGGCCTTATTTCCGCAGTCGTTGGTCGTAGTCATATACTCCCAATTACAGAGGAATTTTAAATGACGAAATTATTCATGTTTTGGCATTGTCAAATTAAGAAGAAAAAAATTTGCCATTAATAACGAACTCCGACTTTTAATGCTGTGGTGGCATATATGGAGAGTTTTTTAATTCGCTATGAAAAAATAAATTTGTAAGTTTGACGCCCATACGAAAAAATTGACCGGGGTATTTAATTTTAAAAATCTGCAGTTTTTGATGTCATTTTCAACTTGGCTTGAGGGATCGTTTAATTAAGTTAGAATAATTCGAGAAAATAAGTTTAAATGAAGTGCAGCAAAAAATGTATATAATTTAATAGGCCGTACAAAGAAGTCATGCGCTGTGCCCATCAGATTTGTTATTTAAATTTATGGATTAATAAACTATGATTTATAAAGAGCAAGATGCCATAATTTTTTAAACAATTCCAAGATTAAATCAGGACATAAATACTACGGAATGACTCAAGAAAAAAAAAAAAAAAAAAAAAAAAAAAAAAAAAAAAAAAATCTATATATTTGATTATTGAACTGGAAATCAATTTAATTGCGTTAATTTGGCCATATCTCTATTATTTAATTAAGATTTCTACTAAAATCAATAAGAACTTAGGCTCTTTTGTTTTCAGGTTAAAAAAAGCCCTGGTTTAAAATATGTAAGTTTTTATACAGAAAGATAACTGTATTTCCTTGTTTAAATAACTTAGGATGGAAAATATTGAATTATAGGAATATTTCGTGTAATCCTTTAATGAAATGTTCTTCACATGACACATGACATGTAATTTACATCGATTGTGTCTACTAAGTTGAGGATGGGGGATTATCTAGAGGGGAAGAAGACCTTCGCTACAGGTTTTTCTCCCTGGCCTATTTCCTATTTTATAAATCAAGCCCTGAAAATAATGCCCTACTATATCTGTTAATAGCTTTATAAAAGCAGTTTGCTGCGATGTGATTATTTGCCAGGTGCGAACGTTTTGTTTCGACTGGGTATACCCCTCTTTATAATTACAAGCACAATATTTCATAATAAAATTCTATAAATCAATTTGTGATGCATATTTTAACAATTTTCCACTCACAAAGTATTTGTCAGACTTTTAATGGGTAGGGAACTCGCTCTTGCAGGTGCTCGTAACTGTGAACGTTAATTGTTTAAACACCGGAGGTAAGTGCACAGTTTATTACATTCTACTTGGGACGAATCTTAAGATTCATATTACCTTTTAGCACCAGATGGCGGTGCGTAAGATTTGTTGCTTAAATCGACTTGTTGCGCAGTCCACCGAAAGCTGATACGAAACACGTTCCCATATGTAAACTGGAAAACTAGGTGTTTAGGCCGTTAAACTGTTGCTGTGGTAACTAAATTTGTGGCTTAGTTAATCGCTGGTATACTAACTCTCAATTCCTTAATCAACGCAGTTGAAATATGTCATTCTGGACGTAAATACATAGGTATGTAGGCATTTCATCATATATTAATTTAGAAAGCAAAGTTCGAAGATCTCATAGTTAATCTAGAAATGTTAATAGTATAGTTTTTATGCAATTACATAGACGGACATGCATTCTGATAATCCATTGCAAATGCTGAAAAGGTTAACATGCGCAATATTGTAAACCCTTTCAGGTAATAAATTTAGTACGTTTACATGCACAATCGAGATTTTTGTCCTTTGGAATAGGGTTGAAGGAAGAAATTAGTTTGCTACATTAAATAACAGGATTGTGTATAGAAGATTTAAATGTTAAGTCTGCGTAAGTACCAGTATTTTAAATTTTGGAGTCCATTTAAACTTTGCCAGGCAAAATCAATTTTTAATTTAGAAAATGAGAACTATTTGAACCATGCTTTTCACTTCTTTTAAGCTGATTTAAAAAATTTTATGTGATTACGAAATAAAATTTTTAAACCGCAGTGAGCTGCGAACGAAAAATAGCAAATTTTCATTTGAACCCTACTTCTTTTCCGTTGCTGAATACGTAAATATCCTAGCATTATTTTTAGCAATTATATATATATATATATATATATATATATATATAAGTAACAATTTAATGAATCGTAATAAATTGCCTAATACTTGTGCAAAAGCTGCAAGGTAATAAAATAACAATTTATTCACTAATGAGATTATTTAATATATTATTTCCTTCGATAAAGCCGCCCAGTTGGTAATAGTGGTCAGGGAAGCTGACTGCGATGCCGAAGGCCTGGGTTCGAATCCCGTAGAAGGCATGGTTGTAACTGTCCGTCCCTTCATAGGAAAGGCGATGGTGGATGGCCCACCTATTAGGTGCCTGCATAATAAATCATTCGGCCTTGTATAGATTAATGGACTGGGTTGTAATTGTTCACAATCTGCCATTGGAAAAAAAAATCTCCTTTGATAAAGGTAGTTAGAATTCTGTTGAAATAAAGTAACTTATAAGCATATTTAAAAACTGAATCTTGAAGAAAAAATTTAAAATGGAAACGTCAAAAATGAATCTTGAATAAATTGAAAATGGAATTCTTTTCTAAAAGATATAATTAGAATTGAAAATGTAATTAGTAAATCAAGTAACTATCGTCATTGATCGGAAATTAGTTGACTTTTCAAGAGGAGTAAATCAACTTTCGATCAATTAACAATAATTAATAAATGCAAAAGTGTTTCGTCTTAAGTAAGAATTATTATACCGAAAACCTTTTTTAGGAAGCCTATGATCTACGCTAAAGCTGCAAAGTAATAAATAAATAATTTATAACAAGAAAACTTTTCATGTACCATCTCTTAAAAACATAAAACTCTGCAAAGAAAAATAATTGAAAAAAAAAATATATATATATGTAATAATAAAATTCCATAGTCAAGAATACACTTCAAATTCTAACTGTATGTTCTTTTCATTTTTAATGGCGACGGTCTCTTATTTGAAAGTACGTGGAATTAAATCCACAGCCCCGTAGTCAAGTTGTTTTTCCCGCCTTTTCTACACGTACAGTTATAGAATGATCTGGAGATATTTAAAGCGAACTGGAATGGCTGACGTCATTTCTTGGAAGCTTCGCCTTTCCAGAGGCTATAAAAGGACTCGCAAAAGAATATCGGAGGCTTTTTCTTAAATGTCACGATGCAGTAAACTTCATACAAAAAGTCATTAGTAATTCTTTTTATTTACCCGGATATCTGATTTTGTAACTGCTATTTCTCCTGAATAATAATAAATGGATCCTGTTTTTTTTTTAAACTTATCGTCTGATAATTTAACTATGATTAAAGCTGGTACATCATATATATATATATATAGATAGATCTATCTATCTATCTATCTATATATAATTTCTATACTTTCCTATAACAACAAGCACTTTAAAAACACAAATGAATAAGAATGGAACAAGAAATGTTCAAAAATTCCAAAAACCTAAATACTAAACAATTAAATGATTTAAAAACCTAAATACTAAACAGTTAAGTAATTAAATGCAAGTACCAAAACTGTAAATTAAAAAAGTAGTAAAAATTGAAAATTTACCAGCCAAAAATAAAAATCTTAAAGCTAAATAGTAAAATAAAGTAAGATATATAATATATATCTTAAAATATTGGTTTTGGGAAAATATAGAAATTTGAAAAGGGTGTTCTTTTCTTTTTTAATAAAATTACTACGTTGTAATTAATGCTGCATTGTGTTTTATTACGATTTATCAAATAACTAAATTAAATTCAGACCTGGTAATTTTTTTAACCTAAAATTTACAATTAATTGATTATATATATATAAATATTGTAACGTCAAAACCCCCGGGTTGGGTGAAAGAAAAGACAGGTTGTCTTTTAAAATATTTATTTTAAATAATATTAAAATATTTATTTAAAAAACTTAATAAGAAATTCTTGAATAAATATTAAAATAATTGGACCATTTCAGCCATAATTCATACAAAAGCCGCTGACGCGGCTACGACGCTGGATGCGTCTGCTTTCTCTCGTTTACAGGATCAAAGCTTTTTACACAAAGCTCTCTCCTCGTTTTGTTAAAAACTTGGAAAGAGAATAATTAGTTCCTTATGTCCGGAAACCACACCAGGGGAGTTTCCGCTGCACCTTTCTTCCAAAGGTCTGCTGTCTATTCTGTCGCTGACAAACAGATAGTTCTCATTAAGCACCTGGAAGTCCGAGGGGTGCATATGTCTGAACGTCAGAATTCCTACCCTCCCCGGGGGTGGGGGTTCAGAACTCCAATTCCTCGTACTTTACCACAGAAAGTCTTAATAATAAAAACTAACTAATAATTATTAGCACTAATACTTTTTTTCACAACGCTGGGCTAAGTACCAAGGATAAATATAACAAGAACTATATTGAGGCCAGTAAAAAAAAAAATATAATCAACATAATACTGAGAACTAAAACTTAATTATACACATACAAATAAAGAACGTATAGTTCTGAAATATGTAACATACATTCCAACTTTTATTATGTTTTTAGCCAGGCTGAAAAGGGAAACTTTGCAGATTTTTAATTTTCAGTTTGTGGTAATCTCTCAATGGTAACCCAACACCTGAAAAAGAACTACAACGTTTGACCTCAAGATAATCCTTTTCCAAAGAATTACTGTGATTGTTTAACGCGACCCAGTCAAAAGAAGGGTTTACGCTACAATATTGTAGGCAGTGACAATTCATTCACCTTCGTTTCAGGCAGAGAGAGATTGGTTTACTCCATCCTTTTTGTGTGAGACAAGACTTCACCCCTTTCTATAATGAGGGAAGAAACTTCGCTTGAGGGTTCGAGTTCGCCGCGTTCAGACTCCAGCGGACAACTTTTCTCGATTTCATTCTTTGATTGACTCGGAGCTCGAGTACCTGTTTTTACCGGAAAGGAAAGTTTATCGTGTTGATCTACTGTTAATTTTTCGGCGATTTTGTTTCCTAACAGATAATGACCGGGATCCACTTCATTTTGAATGATCGCTGCTTTTGTTGTTACTTGGCCAAAAGTTCCTTCTATTGTAACGTTTGCTAAACGTAAACAAATTGGGTCCTCTTCAAACGGGTGTTTTACCCAAACAGTCTCGCCCGTCAGCATCGGAGGAGTGAGATATTTTTTGCATATTACGTCAATGGATGACCCGGTATCTCTCAAAACTGGAAGATCAAAACCGTTCACTTTAGCCATCGTTAGATACGGGGCTAAACAATCTTCTTCAATCTCCTGGACTCTATTTACAATAAACGAATTTTTGAGATCCTTTTTGACTTCCGGACACTTAAGTGGTCTTCTAATATCAAATTGACGCTCATTCTGATTCCGGAGATTTTCCTTTTTCTCAGAGGCATATGCGACTCTTTGGAATTTAAATGATTTTTATTGCCCCTTTGCGACTCCGAGCTATGAACAAGAGATATCTTCTGGGGTTCACGTACGTTTTCATACTCTTCTAGCATTTCCGCTAATTTATCTGGAGTCGTTAAACGACAGATAAATTAGCTCCAGATAAACTCAGATAAATCAGATAAATTAAATTGGACTTCGTCAATGAAATGCTGCCGCACTTCGACATTTACGTGACGCTTCATTTGGTCTGTTATCATGAGATCTTTTAAAAGTTCAAAATCTGTAACTTCCAGATCTGCGATACATTCTTCAAAATAATTCCTTAATTCAAAGGCAAAATCTCTCCAAGTGGTTTGAATGTTTTTCTGGGATTCTGTAAATTTGATACGAAATTTTTCTGGGCTAAGCTGAAACCTTTTAAGCAATATCCTCTTTACGTAAACGTAGTCATAAGCCTGCGGTTCTGGTTCTCGCATAATCAGCTGAACTATGTCAGTTGGCAAAGTTGTCAATAAAACAGAAACCCATTCTGATTGGTGAAGATTCGCACGTTTTGCTTGGCGCTCAAACATAACTAGATACAAACTAATACCGTTTTCTTCAGGATCAAATTTTGGAATAATTTTTTTCAGATCGTAACGGCTTTTTTTAGTCATTTTCTTCATTCCCACCATTTACAGAGTCATTTCTGTTAGCAGCTAGTATTCTTAACTTCGATAATTCAAATTTCATTTCTTCTCTCCTAATTCTATCTTGCTTCTCTTCTTCTTCTCTCCTTATTCTTTCTTGCCTCTCTTTTTCTTCTCTCCTAATTCTTTTCTGCCTCTCTTTTTCTTCTATCCTAATTCTTTCCTGCTCCTTTTTTTTCCTTCTCTCCTAATTCTTTCCTGCCTCTCTTCCTTTTCTATCCTAATTCTTTCTTTCTCAAGCCTCGTTGAAGTGATATTTTCTAACAGGCCTTTCAATAGTTCCTTCTCATAGGATTCATTTCCCATAATCAGCTGTCTTAAATCCAACATCCTAAGTTCAGGGCTAACTTTTTCCCCTAACTCTTCAGCCAAGGATTTAAGATCCCCTTTCCTAACTTTTGCTAAGAATTCCATGATATGAACAAAATTATGCTAA